CATGGCTCAAAACCAGCCGCCACTGCCCGTCAACAAAAACAAAGACAACTATGGTTAAATGTGATAAGACCAAAGGACTGGACGGAGGCCATCATCAAAAATGCTCACATGTGCAGCGCACACTTCATATCAGGTTAGGGAAAAAGTATTTCCTGTTGTAGGGATGAATAAGGTTATGTGTATTAAGGGTTATCATGTCCACCTCATCAGAAACTGGGGAGGGATTAAGAGGAAGATTGGATTTCTGCAACGCTAACTTTTTAGCACATTAGCTAACGTTAGCTTCCATAGCAAAACAAACAAGTGTGGTCCTTCTTTGTAAGATTCCTAATACACCACTACCATCTTCCTCCATCGTCTCAAATAAGCCAACAGAACTTGCTAGCTAGTGCTGGCTAATGTCTGTGGAGAATTGTTTTGCCTCCATCCATGCCCCGCCATAGTCACACTGTTTACTAACAGTAAAAGTTTTTTTATAATCCTGTATCATTATGGGACTTGAAATGCATCACTTGTCACCTGTAGCACACACCAGACACGTCACACAGACAGAAGTAGTAGCCAGGAAGTGCTATTTCATGTAGTGGATGCATTTTAGAGAAGTTGCATGCATCAATGGTGTGACGGTAGGACGGTGACATATCCCATCAACCCATGATGACGAATGTCAAGATGTACTGTGTACGGTCTATAATGGAAAACAACAGATGTTGGTGTTTTGATAAGCATCATATGCTGTTGGTGTGTGGTGCTGAGTATGATACCATCTATCAGCTCACATGTTTAACATGAATTAGCTCATTAGCTGCAGCTGATGAAGTATACACCAATCAGCCAAAACACAACCACTGACAGGTGAAGTAAATAACATCGATCATCTTGTTCCAGTGCATTGTTCTGCTGGGAAACATGGGGTCCTAGCATTCATGTGGATGCCACTTGACACACACCACCCACCCAAACACCATTATGAATCAAGCAAACCCCCTCATGGCAACAACACTCCCCAATGGCAGTAGCCAATGGCAGGACGATGTGTCATGCCACACTGCAACAACTGCTCAGGAATGGCCCAAGGAACATGACAACGAGCTGAAGGCCTTGACCTGGCCTCCAAATCCACCAGATCCAAATCCAATCGAGCATCCTTGGGACATGCTGCTACGTTATCTCGCAACCCACAGGACTCAAAGGATCTGCCGTGACGACGCTGGTGCCAAACACCACAGGACATCCCCAGACTTTCCTTGTCCATACCTTGACATGTCAGAGCTATGTCCAATCCATAGAGGCCCCATCATGGATGGGCGGTACGTCTGGGGTATTGACACATCCCACAGATGGGTTATTTTATGTGACACCAGAGGCTTCCCATTAATGACCAGTGTTAATAAACATGTAATCTGTCAGTGTGAACCAAGCTCATCATATCACAGATGGATGACACTGACTGGTCCAGATCTCACTTGTATTAAAACAATATCAGCCTCACACATCAGTCGTTCTCCGGGTTTTAATCCACCCCGAGAACGACTGAACTCAGAACTGATGTTTATTATTTACAAATGATCTGTGAGGGACCAGTGGTGCTGAGAAAGACAGAGTCGGTTTGTTTACCATCAGATGTGATCAGCTATCACACTGCATCTGTGAGTAATGGTTCAATGACAAAACTGCCGCCAGCGGAGCGTGGATTATGACAGGGAGGTAAACAGCGATAAACACCGGCCTCATAAGCTCCCCTTCAGCGCTCAGGAGTTATCTTGTCTTCAACCAACTCTCTATGTGTGTGTGTGTGTGTGTGTGTTGGGTTTTTTTCTCTACCTTGGAAGAAGAAAATTTTCTTGCGAGAATAAAAAGATGAGGAAATTATCCAAAGTGACATGTTGACAGTCCACACGTTATTGAATGATTTTTTATTTTTTTGTGGACATTAATATTAGAAAACTTATCTTACTCAGGGAGCAAGACAGTTTACTGGAGTGAGAAAAACTTATATGAGAAGCCAAAAACCCTGAGCTTTAACCCAGCCATGTCACAGCTTCCATATCTGAAGTATATGAAAATATAAAATTTGACAAAGAGTATAAAAAAGATGACTGAAAAGTTAACTTCTTTTTAGATATCTGTTTTACATATGACCACTGTTTCAACTTCATTCACTGACCATTTCAGAAAGCTGAGCAGTTGAGAAGAGGGTCAGCTTTAACTGAACTATTAAAATGTGCGTGTGTATTTACAGAATTACCTCAAAGACACTCACAGCTATTTTGTGAGAGGTGGTTCAACACATTTTATATAGTTTCATTTTAAGACTTTAATGGACAAAAACACATGTATTTATTCTGCTGCTGTACAAACTGAGCCATTTACATTCAAACCTACAATTGATCACATCTTTACAGTGACCTTGAAAATAGGTTTCTCAGTAACTTGCAGGCTGACGTATATAACAGAGAGAGCCTGGAACAGACAGCCTGTTCTGGCGTGACTAGTGTTATGGTTTTATAAAGGACCACAGTAGAAATAAGCCTTTAAAACAGGAGGCTGTAAAAGGCTGACAGGAAACACAGGGAGCGAGTTGGGGGATAACATGCAGCAAAGGGGACATTACAATTATATGGTCAGTGAATTAAACCCTCAGGCCAACAGGATGCCCCAAAAGCTCTTTGAGAAGATATTTTAAAAATGCTACGTGTCACACTCCTAGCTTAATAAAACTAACATTTAACAAAGAACATTTATAGACGAGCCGTTAGAGAAGACACTGACTCTTCAGGTGACATAACAGACAGACTCCTGCTATCAGAGTGTTGTTGTCTCTTAACTACCTCTCACAGCAGCAACAATCCACTTTATAGTTTGGTCAAAGAATACATGCTGTCAGTGATGGTGCTCACAACTGTAGTAAAACTCTGTGTGTGTGTGCGTGCGTGCGTGTGTCAGAGTGTCCTCAAGGCAGGGAGCCCAGTGTGTCGGACTCTCCTCACCGGGGTTCAGTCAGCAGCCTGGAGAGAGAAAGTCCTGAACCAGGAGAGGCCAGCGAGGACGAGCCGCTGCACTACCAGCACTACTACCCCCACAGCTACCCCCACAGGGTAAATATATACCACTACTACCCCCACAGGGTAAATATATACCACTACTACCCCCACAGCTACCCCCACAGGGTAAATATATACCACTACTACCCCCACAGCTACCCCCACAGGGTAAATATATACCACTACTACCCCCCCAGGGTAAATATACATACCACTACTACCCCCACAGCTACCCCCCCAGGGTAAATATACATACCACTACTTTCCCCAACAACTACACCACAAGTTAAACATTTATTCCTATTATCCAACTACCCACACAGACTTACTAATAACAACCCCAACTACACCAACACCTACCCCCCACAGGGTAAATGTCTACCTCAGTAACTGCCCCTCTGCATTGAGCTCTACTATAGAAGGTAAGTTGATACTGCCACCTTGTGGATAATCTATTAATAACCCCAACTACTGTCAGTTCATCAGAAGGATGCGACTGCTGTGAGTCTGTTAGTTGGTCTATAATTATCAAGTGTCAGAAAACAGAAGAAAGTGGCACGTCTTCTTCTTCTATTCTTCAAATATCCAAATATCAAAACCCAACAATATTATACTGATATGAAACAGCTGAGAATTGAAAAGCTAGAACCAGTCAATGTTTGCTAGAAAGAATTACTTTAGTTATTCAATAATCAAAATAGTTCCTGATTCAGCCTCTGTAAGTGAACTAGGCTAACTGGTGAATCGCCAAATTGTTTCAGCTCTATGCAGAACAAAAAAAACAACAAATAAAAATAGACCGGAACTGTGTTAAAGGTAGATCAATAACTTAAATAAGAGATAGACTATTTACCTGCCTCAGTCCATCCCTTCACCTTTCTTAACAGTTACTTCATGTAGAAAATCTCAGACGACTGATTAAACTCAAAACAGCAAAGTCTTGTTGCTCCACACTGCACAGAGTGATCAGAGGCAATTTGCATAATCTGTGGTGGACAATGTGTTTACTGTCACCTTGCAGGTCTTTTTATTCAGCACCTCGCCGGTGTGAAGCAGATCAGCCGCGGCGCTCTCCGTGTTCCTGTTACTTTACAGGGAAACATAATGACATAGAATTAGCCTGCAGGCTTCCTACCTGCCTGACAGAGCGGAGCTTCCTCATTAAGATGAGCGGAGGCAGAGAACAGATCGGCCTTTAATCTGCTGCATTGTTCCTCCAACAGGAAGAAACTGAATGTGTGTGAAGGAAAGTGTGTTAGTAATTACCATTATCTGTGTGTGTGTGTGTGTGTGTGTGTGTGTGTGTGTACATGCAACAAAGTGTGTGAGTCAGAGCAGGAAATCTTTTATGGGCTGTTGGTACAGGTAACTTGAAAATATATTTGTTTGCTCAGCGTTGTGTGTGTTGATGATGTTGATGATGATGATGATGATGATGACGAGAGAGACAAATGGGAAGGCTGTGTTAATGACAGTTAACTGCAGTGTGTTTTAAGTGACCCACTGTCTCGCTAAGAGCTTCTTCCTCTGTGTTTGCAGATAAAGCAGCATCAGTCTGATCTGGAGGACGATCTGTGATACTGCAGCTCAGGTATGAACTCTCACACTGAGATACTTTATAAAACATTAAAAGATGAGGCAGGTATTTTATATTGTATATTTTCTCTATTGTCAGCAAATGCAGTTAAAGGTCCAAAACCAATAATGTCTCATTCCTTCCCTTAATACTTTCTGACTTCCCCACCCTGTCTGCAGCAGCCCCGGGTCCATTGGTCCCTACTGAAGACAACATCTTTAAAAACTGCAAACAAAAATATGGTTTCATTTTAGCCACATCAGCTAACTCTACAGTCTCTACAGCCTGATCTCATTCCCAACTCATCAAATACCACCACTTTGTCAGTGATCTCGGTGTCCAATACCATCACACAGAGGCACTTTTCATGGTGGTATGATACACACCAGGCGGCAGCAGTTGTTAACACAGCAGGCAAGAACCAAACTCGTCAAATACCGCCAATTTGTCAGTGGATGTCCTTGTCGGACACTGATGCACATGGGCATCTTTCAAAGCATTATGAAACACACTGGCTGGCAGCAGTTTGTCAACGCCACCTGCAACTATATATTTGTGGTGGTATGATACATACCAGGTGGCAGCAATTGTTGATGTAGCGGGCAACACCTGAACTCGACAAGTGCTACCACTTTGTAAGTGGACATCAGTGTCACACACTTGTACACAAAGGCACATTTCAAAGCATTATGACAGACACTAGCTGGCAGCAGTTTGTAACACGACTGGCAACTATAAAGAGTAAGAAAGTCTGCATAGGGCAGGTGGAAGGGGTGGTGGATGGGTCAAACAAACTCCAGACTTTCACTCGGGTGCCCAGGTCATTTCCCACGTGAAACCAAAACTCAGCTGAGTTATTTTAATTCAACAATGTAGTGTGCTAGTATGCATAGCATGCTATGGTAGTGTGGTCACATGATGCATGCCACATGATGTTAGTAAGAACCATACTTATTTTAAGCCAAGCCCTGATGTTTTTTTCTAAACCTAACCATGTGCTTTTGTTGCCGTAACTTAAATAAACGAAAAACAAAGTGTTTTATGTAAGTTGTTGGTTTATTATGAAAAAGAATGTATGCGTGAAAAGGCAGAAACTTTCTATGAAACAATCCTAAATTCACATGCTGTCTCAGAACATTCAAAACAGATTCAGGAGGGTATCTAGGGCATCACATGTTGATGTTTAGGTCCACTGACAAAGCAGCAGCGTTTGACAAGTTGTGATGAGAATGTGTTGGGCTCAGTGGGTGGCAATGTTGGTTCTTTGGTCAGTTGGTCCACCACTTTGGTCCAAAATATCTACTTTAATCTAAATGGATTAGAATAACATTGAGCACAGAAATTCCTAGTTCTTAGAGGATGAAACCTACTGACTTTGGTGATCGTCTGACTTCTAGCACCATCATCAGGTCAACAGTCTGTTAATTTCCTGAAGATCCATAGACATCTCGTTTCAAACTCCTCTCCTGTTCTCTTTCCAGATCCATCCAGAAACAGAAGCTGGGATCGGCAACAGCTGGGATGGAAGACACTCAGAGGAGGTGTTGGCAACATGAACTGCATTGACCTGACTCTCTTCCACCCCTGAATCTGTGTCTTACCTGTCTGTCAGTCAGTTTGATTTATTCTGCTGCACCATCTCAAGTTCTGGATTCCAGTCGACAAAATCTCCAATGTGTTCCTGGTACATCACTGAATCTGATGCTCCCTGCTAACATTCTGACACATGGGACAAAATATTTGAACATTTAAACATGAAGCACCATGCCGTTGCAATTTATAGAAGATTTCAGGTCACCGTTGATTTTAATTACAGTAATTTCAGAATGCTATAAATTTGACTTATAGAGGTTTGATACTTTCTGCAGACCAATTATTTATAACAGTGAGCAATATATGTAATTCATTTTGGTTTTGATGTATTAAAAATTGATAGTGTACCTCCAAAAAAGCATTTAATTCATGGGCTATAGTTAGCAGTTTTTAGTTCTTCTAAGTTATTTTATTTTAGTTCTCATTATATTATATTATATTATATTATAGAAAAGGTGGTGTAATATTGGCCCCATTTATTGCTCTACCCTTGCTCCACTGTTGAACCCCCATCTGCCTGAATAAAATCAGTGTGGCAGCAGCTGGCAGCTTCTTATCACACAGTTTATTTTCATTATTTTATCATTACGTGTAACCAGATGTGTACAGGACGGCATTATACGGCTCTGTGGAAAGGGTTCAGTGAGCACAGTTTTATGACTCTCTGGGTAAATTACACTGTTTAATTCACTCAGAAATTCAGTGAAAAAGTGAGAGACTCTGACAATTCCCTGAAATGAAGATTAAATCTGAATAAAAACTACATGTTAAACATATAAATGGGAAGATAATGGGAAGAATAGCTGACTGATTTGTGTAACTGCTAAATTGACTTGGTTAAAGTCAGCTTTACCTCTCAGTTTTTGTAGATGTTTGGTTCAAGTTAGCTGCTAAAACAGTTTGTTTTAGGTTTACCTAATGATTTAGTTCAGCAACTAAAACAATTTGGTTTGGGTTAGCCAATAGTTAACTACCCCAAAACAGTTGGCTTTGGGTTAGTCAGAAGATTAATATTAGGAGATACAACTGTTTCTTAAAGTTAGGAACAGTGTAGTAGAAGAAAACAGTTTAGTTTATCTGCTAAACAATGTGTTTAGCAGATAAACTGATTGTTTCAGGATAGTAGATACAACAGTTTGCTATATGTAAGCTAACAGAACAGTTAACCAACCCAAACAGTTGGTTAGCTAAGTCAGTTTGACAGAAATAACAGTTTGGTTAAGGTTAGCTAATGGATCAGTAGCTAAAACAGTTTGCTATATGTGAGCTAACGAAACAGGTAAACAGTTGGTTAGCTAAGTCAGTTTAGCAGAGATAACAGTTTAGTTAAGGTTAACTAATGGGTTAGTAGCTGAAAGTTTGTTATATGTATGCTAACAGAACAGTTAGCCAACCTAAACAGTTGGTTAGTTAAGTCAGTTTAGCTGTAACAACACTTTGGTTAAGGTTAGCTAACGGTTCAGTAGCTAAAACAGTTTGCTACATGCTTGCTAATTTAGCTCCTGGAGAAGGCAGTTTTGTTGAGGTTAGCTAATGGATCAGTTCAACAACAAAAAAAAAAAAATAATTTGGCCACATAACTTGAAACAGTTTGGTTTGAGTAAACTATGGCATCAGTTACGCAGAGCAAATTGTTTGGTTCAGATTACCTTCCTAATCGGCAGTTAAAAACTTTGGTTCACATTAGTTCAGTAGCAGTTTGATACAGGTAAGCTAACGGAATAGTTAAATAGAGAAATGAGTAGTGTATCAAAAAGAGAAAAAAGCATGTAATTTATTTATTTATAATTTATTGATTTGTTGGTTTAGGTTATCTCACGATAAGTTTGGCAGGTAAAAATATTTAGTTCAGGGTGGATCAATTAAAACAGTTTAATTCACATATGCCAACAGTTTAGTAGCTTAAACAGTGTGCTTCATGAAAGTTACGGAATGTTTACCAGCATAATTGGGTTGCTTACACATAAGTGTTTCAGATTATTTTTCGTTAATGTTAGCAGCTTAACCAGCTTGATCCAGGTTAACACTGGGTCAAATGCTGCCCTCAAACAGGGTCATGTTTACTGTGTCCACAAGAAGAGTCGATAGAAATACCACCCTCTTTGGTGTTCATGAACTTGATAACGTTGCATACTTGATACATCCATATGTGTCCATACATGGACTACTCTGCATATCAATCCGTATGTGTGCATGTTTTCTGAAAACTTACAGATACAGACGAAACAGAGCAGTACCATCGGAGATCGTAGAGGCAGTGTAGTGTAACGTTAGATCAGGTGAGATATTACTGTAGGAAATGATGAAGACATTTAAAATATGGTGGAACGGAACAAATCTGAAATGAAAAGATATATCCGTCCACATGTTGTGATGTATTTAATGGCCTCACAGACCACCACTGTCTACCTTGCAGCCTCTGTTAAAAGGTACATTATTAGGCCCACAACCTCCTCCACTGTCACCTTGTTTGTTGTTGTCTGAAACTTATGACTCTGCCCTCTACTGTTACGTATTGGCTGTATCTATGTAATCATAAAGGATGCATGGAAGGGAGTATAAATGAGCCTACTTTAACACCAAGGATATCTGGTACACAATTTCCTATGTGGTAACCCCTGAGGGCAGCACTATTCAAGGCTCTATAGTTAAAGTTTTAACCTTTGTTCAATCAGTGAAGAAGAGGTCAGAGATGAAGAGTTGTCATTAGCTAAAGACTAAACTGAGGTCATCAGAGTTGAATGTAAAAGTACCAAAAGGGCCATTTTACAATACTGGAACCTTTGGTACCTTTATGGCATAAAATCAATGTGTTTACAACTTAGCTTTCCTACAGATGTCCATTCAATGCAAAGTCTAACTCTACTGCAGTGTGTTTGGGTTTGCATTGACTGGAATGTCAGATACAGGCTACTATTAGTTTTTCACTTTTGCTTGCTGTCAAAATGGCAGTAAATTTAATGATGCATCTGTACAATGGCAGCCGTCACTTTTGGCTACAGAAACAAGGCCTTTTCATTTTTCTCTGTACATCCATCCAACGCTTAGATGTTCCTTGTTATCTTTAAGCTATTGGCCAGACATTTGGTATGAATGTTCATGTTCCCCAGTGGAAAATGAGAATGTTGTTGATGCCACCCAAACCCCTATGTTTGTGTTTACACCATGTCCACCATGGTTAATGTATTTCCTGTTTTGAGTCATGGCACCACCGTTAAATTTTACTTTAAATTTTTCCTTTGCAATGTTTTCAAGTGTAAATTTTTGGCTGAGACACAGGCGATGTGAGGGGATGCAAATGTCAGCCTACGTCACCACAGTTCTCTGATGTCCGTTTGGTGTGTCTGGGCCTTTATGGTAATCATGTTTCTTTCATTAGATTTTGGGTGACTGGTCTGATGGAGAGCCAAGCCACCAAACTGTTGTCAAGTCAAATCAAGACTTTTCCTCTACCATGTTTACCCAGCTGGATGGACAACTGTGACTGACTGTACATATGTTTAAAGCATTCATGTAAAATATTTGTTGGTTTAAAAAAAATGACACTTAAAAATATTTATGTGTACATTAGTGGCTCTTTATACTTGCACAACATTTCAGACTTTTAAAAAAATGTTACTAAAACGTTTTAATAGGAAAATCTGTAACTGCAGGTACAGAATCATTTTGAAAACACTTCATTTGGCTTCACTGTAGTTTCTGCTGTTGGTGCTTATGTGCTTGTCCTCAGTGCTAAATGTAATCTATTTCAGTGTGAGTGTAGTAAAGGTATTTTTCATAAAATAGATGTGTGGTTGGAGCTTTGTGCGTAATGATCTTATGATTCTGTGTTTATGTATGAAGCAATTTCAATTATTATTTTGGTTTAGTTCAGTACAAAAGTAATATTCAGTTTTGTTGCTTCATGGAGGCCAATAGTTCTTTCTTTTCCAAAGGGAGTACAAAGGTCAAAGGTTAGGTTTGGTGGGAATTTAGTGTCTTGCTAAAAGCTGTTTGCTTCTGTTTTTTATTACAAATAGGTCTCTATTACGCTTAAAATCTGCGTAAACCAGAAATAGTTGAATGCTTTAATAACAGGTTCACATTTTCAGACAGCCCCTTTAAAGACGGAATGCCTTGTGATTAACATACGTATATCTTAAATATATGAGGAAATACAGAGAATAAACAAACAAATAATATTCTGAAGTTTCATAAATGTTTGAAGAAACACATAAAATATTGAACAGCAACAATTAAAGGTATAGTGTGTAACATTTGGGTGGATATATTTATAGAAATGGAATATAATGCCAATTATATCTACATACGGAGGGGGAGTCATATCTACATGACTCGATGGAGTCAGCCATTTTGTATATACAGTAGCCTAGAATGAACAAACCAGCACCGGCTCTAGATAGGGTAATTTCGTTTTCCTGTCAGCCACCATAGTTAGCGGCCCATCTGCAATGATCAGCGCCAGAAAAACACAATTTTTCTAGCATAAACTGCTTTATTCAGTTTTCTTTTACCAGTTTTAGTCATCTGGTTATTTTGTTTTGGAGGAAGAGACTTCTGAGGATAATTCAGCTCCAGGTGATCACCTCGTCTGTTTGTTCTGAAGAGCAGGAGACCTCTGCAGATTATTCATTTACTTGTTAAAACATCTTGGACCATGGACCCTGAATGAATTCTAACTGGGAGTTCATGTTTGGCACATGGGAGAAGTTTGAGCTGGTTGCAATCTGTCATCTCTTTAAATCATACACACTGCTCCTTAAAAGGAACAATGTGTGGGATTCATAGGATTTATTTATTTTTAGATTAAATCAACTAAAGCTCCTGGTCAGAATTCCTTCAGTAGTTGATGTTCAGGAGGTTTTTACCAGGAACTGAATTATCCACATAGGTCTCCTCATCTCCAAAACAAATGGATCACGTCATTTAAACCAGTAAAACGCTGAATAAGGCAGTTTCACGTTACAAATCAGTGTTTCTTTGACGCTGTTTGGCATGTTGAAGATGACTGTTAGCCTAGTACCTGCTAATATATGCTCACCTTTCTTCTCTGATAACTTAAGATCCAGACGTTCAGGAGATTTTTTACTGGGAGCTGAATCATCCACAGACCTCTCCTCCTCTGTAGCTCTCATACATGCTAGGCACAAAGGAGAAGATTCATTTTATTGCAATCTGCAACCTCACCACTAGATGCCACTAAATCACATGACTGCACTATAATTAAAGAAGAGTAACTTTCCATTCAGGCTGTGTATAATATTATATTGTGGGAGTTTTAATTAAATCAGTAGAGCCTTATCATGTATGAAGAGTTTAATCACAGTCAAACACTGGATCACATGTTGTTGACTGAAGCGAAGCTCTCAGCTCGTGTTATTGATTCATTAGAGCCAGGACAACCTTTGACACCATGTCTGTTTGTACAGTGCATGCTGGGTGAGTGGCTCTGAGCAGTGGGCATGTACAGTGACAGAACAACTGGTTGGATGAGTTTTGGGAACTGAATGAACAGGCTGCAGCAGAGAGGTGTGCTCACACAGAGGTAAGGCTTCTCTTACAACAAACTAGCGTGTCCACATTCCACGTTAGTGCATTTTCATTTTAGGAACACTGTGTGTGTGTTTGGTCCATATTTAATCAGTCAGGATCAGCATTTATGCTCTGATCTTTTTCTTTTTCCATGTCTTCTTCCTATTTGCTGTACTTTTCCTGCAGAGTGAGCAGCTCAGTTTCTCAGTCTTTGGGCTGGGACCCCTCTTGTGGCCTTTTGATGTGCACGAGGGTCATGAATTTGTTTACATTTTTACTATAAAAGATCTATGCTGCTCTGTGTTCTAGAAAATAAAATATCCCAACATGCCAAACTGACATTCACAGGACAGCTTGACAACTCTAATTCCTGAGATCATGAGATTTGGGGAGAAACACGGGATGAGAGTCAAAGGTCCTTGGACTATAGTTTGACTGAGAAGCACAGAGCTTTAATCTGCTGCTCCACCATTGATTGTTAAAAAAAATCACTGAAATGGATTGAACGGATTCCTACAACATGATTCAAATATGTGTAACGAAATACCTCAATTTAATTTAATTTAATTTTGTTTGATGCTTTTCTGTTTATGGGGTGTTATAATTAATCACAGACCGTATGTTTATAGTGTGAGGATGTCGATAGGCTCTGTAGATAATGTGTATCCTGCAGTCCACACTGACTGAGATGCAGCAGGAACTTGTTTGTTTGCGCTCAATAAAAAACCTGCTTCACACAAGAAGCAACCAACTGAATCAAACTTCCAGCTGCTGCTTGTATAGTTTGAATTTTCATGATTATGGGATTAGCTTAAAGGGAAACTGCACTAATTTTACACATCACAGTGTGTTTCCAAGTGTTAGGGAGCACCACAGCATGTTTTAAACGTAGTTTTAACCTGAACACAATAGAAAGGTTAACTGAAACTAATGATTAGCAGTCACCTCACTCCTCTTACATCTGGCAGCACTTGTCACGGTAGCATTGAGGGCACATCCCCATGAAATTCATGACATAAAATATGTTGATACTCAATTGTCATTAACTGTTCTGTGGTGTAATGCCAGCCCAGACACCAGAAGAAACTGTTGGCATTGTAGCTTTTGTTTCTGCAAACCACAAATACATTACATTTGCACGTTTCATATGTGTCATGTTAACGTTACTATAGTGACATAGTATATAAGCTGACTTTGACATCATGAGATAGGGGGGATGGTGGATGGCATGTCACCTAGGGTAGATGCCTGCCAAGCTGCAGACCACTGCTCAAGATCAACAAACAACAAAACGTGGTTGTTTTTTAATAAGTCACTGCTGTTTTTCCTGCGGCTTCGTAGCCCCCGAACACAGGTGTTTTTTAGTGACTTGTGGCTGTTTTTCCAGCAGCAGGTAAAGTGCCACAAGAAATGTTTTTATACTGAGACACTGCTTCATAGTGCATGAATGCATTAAGAGACCTGGATACAGTGTTAACGGCAGGACCCCGTTCATTACTGTGAAAGTTGCGTCGTGGTGATGAAGCCAAAAAAGCTGTTTCCGCCCGGGTATGAAATAACTTGGAGTTGCTTCCACATCAGTGGGCCCATAGAGCAGGGACTACTCACAGTTTAGCGCTCCGCAAACTTGAACAGGAATAAAATCATTTAATTATGTGCCTCTTCAAGATGGTCCCAGTGTTATCGGACCAAACTGATTAAATCCTGATAATGGAACAGGTCATTTTACAGGGGCTGTGATGTCTCTTTCCGAATGTAAGTCTATAGGAAAAAGTCTTTTTGGGCCCAACGGCATCACCACAGACTCGAGAGTTGTAATTCCACTGTTTTGCCACAACGAAAACTTGGCTTCAAAGCCCAGTGCACTTCCTGGGGCTCTGGGATAGTGGCAGGAAAAGCAGCGGGGGGTTTTCTGAGACATCGCTTTGTGTCCTGCAGGGATTGTGCCCCCAGAACCAGCTATTTTAAGCCAAAATATAATCTTTTCCTAACCATAACCAAGTGGTGTTTGTGGCTTAACCTAACCACAGGTTAACCACAGCGCTGTTGAATTGTAAAGTTTCAGTGTATCCCCTACATCATAAAGTTCATACATAATCTATCAGTGATTTGCAGAAATGTACAAAACCAACATTTATTCTGGCCATTGTGTCGTTCGTTGAGACTGTAAAAGGTAAAGCTCACCTGTCCACACCTGTCCAGCAGATCATGACGGCAGCAGAGCCCAGCCCTCTGACCACTCACGTGCTGAACACAGGAGACGGCGTCCCGGCAGCCAGAATGGCCCTCAGCTTGCACCGGCTCGACTCCAAACTGATCATCTGGAACATGCTGAGTGTCGGGTAAAATACGTCACTGTTGAAACTTCAAGAAGCAAAACATCAGAATCTCTGAATTTGTAAATGAGCGTTAAATCTTTCTTTATTTATTTCAACTTATTATTTAAACATAAAACTTGTTGACTTTGTCTAGAGAGAAGTTTGGGGGGTTTCCTGCTCACTTCAATGCAATATCAACAGCACGAATCAGGTGATTACAGGAACTGGAAGAGCATGTTGGTTTCCATTTGCACAGCACTTGCTACACATCAAATTACCCCTCTGACAGACATGATGTGTCATGATGGATGCACTGTGGTTGGAGGTCCACAGGCCGGGAATGACTCTGACACCAGGATAGTTGTGTTTAGATTTCAGTCATATTTAATATTCTAGACACCACAGGGGCCAATTGTGACAAAACTTGAGGGAGATATACTGAATTTTTATTTTGAACATTTAAAATTAAAATGAAATCTTTGTCAGAGAATATGAAGAACCTGAAAGAGGCAAGGAAGAGTTTTTCTTTGTTACTGAGAGAGAGGTTAAGAGAGTGGAGATTAAAGTCTAAAACAGAGTCCTTTGAGCTTTTATGAACTTTACAACTCAGCAGTTTAATGATTTTTAGGACAACGAACGAAGACGGACGCTGCTCGGGACTCATCAGCCGAGAAGCTTTCAGCCCCGGCATGTACAAGCTGCGCTTTGAGACGGGTTCATACTGGGACAATCTGGGTCAGACATCCTTTTACCCATATGTAGAGGTGAGCTGTTCTGATCTGTATCAGGAGATCACTTACAAGCACAACATGTTTTACATTATTCAACTGGTGTTTGTGGGCTTGCTGTCAACAAAACCTGTGATTTCACTTGTTGTCCTGATCCTTAAATGATCATATTTGAATACTTGCAGGCAGTTTAACTGCAACATTTGAATTTTGATGCATATTATTAGATGCATATTATTTAAAAAATACTTCACTGCTGAATTATGCTATGAATAAACACCAGATTTATATATGGTTTCACCAAGCTGTTTGATTCGGTTTTTAAAGCACTAGTGGAAGAATAGCAGCTGAAAGGAAGTTGTTTTTAAAGTTATAGGTTGTTTTTGTTTTATCCTTAACTGAAAAATCATTGCCGACAGATCCTATAAAAAGACTGTTTGTCTTACTGAAGATGTAAATCTCCACAGATGGCTCACAAATATAAAGTTTTACTTTAAGAAGGGCCAATGATATAGCCTACCAGAGCAGATGGCTCCTGAAGCTTTCTGCAAATGTCAGCACGTTTAGGAGGAGTCCTCAGGCTGATGAAAACACAGTGATCACCACAGGGTGTCGCCAAATCAGACAAAACGGACAATCATCAGGATTAACACTTAGACATGTTTGTTGTCATCAACAACAACAGTAGTCAACAGTAGTGTGTACTTTGATAAATGATAAAAACAACACTGACTTTTACTGGACGATTGTGACACCACAGAGAGATGAGAGTGCAGATTTTCATTCGGAGTAGAGCTAACAGCTCATCATTTATCACACTAACCAAAGCAAAGATAATGTGATTTGTAATAAACGTTGTCGCTATCAGTTTGTATTAATTGTGTGTGTGTGTGTGTGTGTGTGTGTGTATTTCCAGGTTGTGTTTACCATTACAGACCCTGATCAGAGATTTCATCTCCCTCTGCTGATGAGTCGGTTCTCCTACAGCACCTACAGAGGAAGCTGAGGGCTCTGAGGACGACCAGCTGCAGCCTCAGCACTCTGCAATCAGACAGACAGACAGACAGACAGACAGAAAGAGAGACAGAGACAGAGGAGATTTATTTACATGAATCTATGCAGTCTATTTTTTATTTTTTTGTCTTTGGCATAATTCTACATTTTTGTAAATATACATCAGTTGATTTACAAATGTTATTTTGTGAAATATTCCTTTAACACTTCACTTTGGTCTATTTAAGATGAGATTAAGTTGTTTTAGAGTTACTTATTAAATGCATATTTAACATATCTGTTTTTTATGTTGCATATTATTTCTTTCTACAAACCTTAAATCTTTGGAAAAGGAAAAATTTTAATTTACATGAATGCAAACCTGTGATTGTTTTTTTTTTTCATTTCTTATTTACACTAATATTTAAAGTTTTATAGAATCTGTCATCTGTATCAAACAGTATGAAACAGCTGAAAATACAACTGAAATTATTAGTTGAGTTAGCTTTCTTACAATGTATTTTAATAATCGATCAACCATTTCAAGAATTTTTTAAGCAGACATGCCAAACTTGTTCTGTCTGCAGCATCCTCTGAAGAGATGTGCTGCTTTTCTTTGTCTTATATGATAGTTCATTAAAATCAATGTAGATTTTGGGCTGTGTATCAGAAAACAAGCAATTTGAAGACCCTGCCATAAACTCTGAAACTGAATCGTCATGGATGATTCTCACTATTATTAACAGATTAGTTAAGAAAATAAACGGATGATTAATCAGCAGTGAGAATAACCGTTAGCTGCAGGCTCTACTGAAAAATGTTACAAAACATAGCTTTAAACAAAAATAATTTCACTGTAATATCATTGTCCTGTTTCTTTTAACTTTTACTTGTTTTGTTTCATCAACACTTTGTGTGTTTTCTACTCACAAATAGCAACATGTATTTAAAATATTTTAATACCTTCCATAACTGTGAAACTATGTAATTTCTGACATGTAGCTGAGTCATATCAGTGTCTCGGTAACAGTTACGTGAAGCTGAATTTGCGCACAGGACAGAGTGCCTTTCTGTCTCAGCCAATCAGAGAGAAGGTGTTCTGTGAGGACCCAGTGTTGGCCTTTCTGCTGCCTGAATGTAATACAGTTATCATAAAATCAGTTAACTATTAAATCTATTTATGTGCAGTCAATTTGAGGAATATTTTGTTTTTTACTAGAGTGACCATTTTATGACCAAGAAAAAATATATAATTAAGTAATCTATTTCTTTTTAGAACAATTTCCGGCAGGTATTCGCAGAGAAAGTCTTTGGGCCTTTACATCATCCTCCCGTTGACATTTCACGCTGTTACTCTTATTCAATAACACTTGTTGGTGCAACAAGATGAAGTTCACGAGTGGAGTTTGAACGAAAAGCTTCGTGTTTTGGACTGAAAGGTTGGGCCCGCGGCACGGGGAGGATGTCTCAGTTGCTGAGGCTTCTCTCGGCGGCCGCCCTGCCTCTCTGCCGGGCTGGAGGAGCCCGGGCGCGGCTCTCAGCGGTGACGGCAGGACGGCTCCTCACAGCCGGATTCCGAAGCTCCGCTGCCTCGGTAAGTGAAGGTGGAGGATTTCTGGAGTGATTGTTGTCTAAGAAATGTGCGAGTCCGTTAGTGAGTTAAGCACCAACATTCCCTCTCCACCCTGATTGGAAATTAGCTGTAATGTTACACTAAAATGTGTTTTGCCTCGAGCGGCGGATCTCTAGCTAACGTTAGCTAGCACACATGCCAAATCCCATCGCAAAGTCATGCAGTTCAGGGGTTGTTTACGTATTATAAAGACAGCATACCATCCAAAACTTAATTTAAAACATTTTCTGTCAGATTATAATCTATTTTGTAATTCGGCCATATTTCACTTTAGCAAATAGCTTCTATTGTAAGAAAAATGTGATTTTATTCTGTGCTCGTACACAGTTAACGTTAGCTAGCAGACTCTGGGAATTACAGACAAAAGGTCATATTTTAAGGATGTGGTAAGATTTGTCCTGTAACCTGATGCATTATGTACATTTTAAATATCCCACTAAAGTATCTGCAAAAGTTATTCACGAGGCTCTTCTCATAAATAAAACTAACAACTTACTAGCACCTGAGGTAATCTAGCTAACAGTAGCAGAAACTGAGGCCCGTTAAATGACTTTAAAGTAAATTTGTACTTTTAACGTTATTTATGTGTTTTACTTTGGGTATGATACCAAAGCAGTCTTCTTCGACACTAGTGTTGACTGATAGATTAGCTTGGAATAGTAAACAACATAGTCAATCATTACAGCGTTTAAAGCTAAAATTAGCTCACTAATAAAATATGTTTGGTTTCCAAAAAACAGGGTTGAAAACTGCCTTTGTTTGTCCACCTGCCACTGTGACTGTTTAATTCCAAGATCTGCCAGGCACTCAATAGATAACTTAGATTGCATTAATAAATAACTTTTTTTGGCTGTTGTATTAAACGACTCTAGCAGCCACCACCTGCTTATTTTACCAGCATTTGGCTGGTGTTCATTTCCAACCTTGCTAACAACTGTCTGGTTTTAAGTCTTACAGCAGTTTCAATTGTTGTCAGCCTTTCCTTCCTTTCTTAGCAAGCTCTAATGTGGACTATGATTAAATATTTTGTGTCTTAATAGGTTCACTTTTTTTATTCAAGTTAATCTTTATACACTAGCCATATACCCACATGTACATTGAAGGTAGTAGTGATTATTGTAATGAGCTACATGGTCTACTACTCTGTGTAGACCAATCAAGTCCTTCCTCACCAAACTGAGACAACAGTTTCTTCATGGAGCTGGCTTTGTGTGCAGGGGTATTGTCTTGTTGAAACAGGAAAGGGACAAACACAAATTGTCGACACACTAAAATATCACAGTGCACTGTACAGCAATTAGTCGACCTGCAGAAAACTAACAAGCAACTGTTTTGATAATCTGTTAATGCTTTAAGTCAATTTTAAAACTACTTTTGAACTGTGGTCCAGACAAAATAAGACGTTTGAAGACGTCACCACAGGAATGTTATCAGTATTTTCGGACAATTTGCAGACAAAACCGTTAATCAGTTATTCATGCAAATAAATTAAATTGAATGACCATGAACATAGTCATTAGTTCTTGCAGATTCAGTATGTTGGAGCGTTAACGTGTCCCTTTGTTGGAATTAAAGGAAACATAATATAAGGTTGTCCACTTACTTTTGGTTATGCACTGTATCAATGTCAGTGTCAAAGTCATGCTGACATGATCACATTGAATGATTCCACAGCTCAGAGTGTTTACGACAACTCAGATTTCACTGCCAGGATTTTCAAAGAAATGTGACCTTCAGTGTTTGTTTTACCTGTTAGAAGGTGTGGCCTTAAAGCCACTCTCAGGTTGGTGTTGGTGTGTATTTGATGCACTAACAGTGATTCTGTGGTGTTTTTTTCAGAGCTATTGTCGGACTCCAACAAACTTCCTGTCCTGTCGCAGATTCCAGTTGGTTCAGCGACGACTGTACTCCACTGAACCCAAAGGTGAGAGCTGCTGCGTGTCTGAAGCACAAAAGGTGGATATTGTTGTCATTCAGCCCCGGCTGGGTTCAGGTGCAGGACAAAAAGCCGCAAAGAAAATTTTTTTTCTGCACACTAAAATTTGCAAGCTCTTATGTTTTTATTGATGCAGCATCTCAACCTACAAGATCTTCATCGGGCAGACATCCATGTAAACAAAAAACAGGCTGCATATACGGACAAATGACAGCTACAATGACAATTAGGAGATCATGTGATACAAAATACCAACCCTTCAGTTTGCAGCGTCTTTGTCCTCATTTTTAAAATGCACCTTTACTCAATTAATTCCCTGCCGTGTACGTCCAGTAGTCAGTTCTATTATTTTATTATCTTATTGTATACTTTATTTTGGTTTATTCTTACTTTCATGTTCTGTTATTATGCTTTTATTTTGTGGGATTTTGTTTTCATTTTTGCAGTTGTAAAGCACTTTGTAGCTTTGTTTTAAAGGTGGTATACAAATTAACATTAACATTAGCCCACAAACAACACACATTTTAAACAGAATATTCCAATATTATTTTAGCTTTTCCATCAAATTTACTTTTTCAACCTCTAATGTAAAATTTGAATTGATTTTATCTTCATTGACCAATATTAAAAACATTTTTCAGTCAGGTCAGCAAGTTCAGTCACACATTTAATTTGAGACAGCAGCAGAAACAACTCGAGACACACTGAAAATAAAACTTAAACCCTAAACCACGTGAACTTCTGTGACATTAATTTGGCAAATAAGCCAGTCTGGTGTTGTAGGACAGATGTGAGCTTATCAAATAAGAGCTTTTTTTTTTGTGTTTGTCCTGGCGCTGCTCGATGTTACAGTCTGTTGATTCTGAACTGATATTTTGGCTGCAGGTTCAGGCCTCAGTGTGACAGGGTTGAAACATGGTATGAAACAACAGAATCAGAAACAAAATCTTGGTACATTCTAGGTTTGCTAAAGCAGATCTGGGTATTAAAACTTATACTGGAACAAATGCTGTTTTTTTTCTGACAGGTGTATAATCTAACACTCTTTTATTTCAGATGGAAAGGGTGGAGCAGGAGGAGCAGGAGGAGGAGGAAGATCATCAGGTGGAGGGAAGAGAGGAGGAAAAGACTGGTGGAGCCGAATGCAAAAGGTTTGTTAAACTTCCTGTAAGAGCCAAATACGTTGTTTCACTCAGCAGACATGAATTGTACTTACTGTGTACGTACACTGGGTGGCGCTGTATGGATATTGTGAGTGTTGGTGCATAAAGGCAGGAACAACATTGTTGCTGTCAAGTGTTTCAGCCAGGAAGAGCCAAAGGTTTTTGACCACTGTGGCACAGGACAGTGTGCAACGTGCTGAAGGCTGTGTGTTCAGTTTCAATGAAAGATAAAGAAATGGACATTTATTCAATGTGTGTTTGGTGGTGTGAATAAACACAATGAGTGTTTGGCAACTGGAACCTGCAGTTTGTTGTCCGAACTCAAGGAAGCTGTGACATCAACCGTGGATAGTGCGTCAGCCAGGTCAGGCGGGGCGAAACATCTCATGTAGCTGCAATAGGCTTAGCTGCTACTCTTCCAAAATGAAAATGGCATCACGTTGAAATTATAATTCACAATGTTGCAGTGAATTCCAGTGCAGTTACATATATTTTAACATTTGATGCAGCAATCAGTCCTAAAATGGGTTTAATGGGTTTTTGGTTAGATGCCTGAAATGAGGTGTGTGGTTAACAGAAGCTTAAGAGGCTTTGGTGGTTTGTTCTTTGACATATAATGAATCAGCTAAATGAGTTTACAGAACATCACCACGCCTTACACGGCTCTACACCCTCGTTGTGGTGGTGACGTTCAGGTCATGCGTGATTGTGGTGCAGTTTGATTGTAACATTAGCTGTTTATTCAAGGTGAGTGCATTACGCTTCAATAATCCTAACAGTGGTGTTCATTTGTAAACATTATCTTTTTGAACAAAACATGAATGTATCATTAAAGGTTGTTTAACATGGAGCTTATTTTCTGCAATAATCCAAAATCCAACATAAAAATCGCACTGGAATTTTGATGAGGGAACCAGAGCGATTTTAATTTCTGTGTGGGCCTACGAATAACTATGCTCCCTGCAGCACTCCATTACGTACGCAATATAAAGTCTTTTGTTTTAAATATTTGTTCATCCATTTCTACTCCTCCAGCTGCTCCAACCATTTCCCAATCTCTCTTATGATTACCAGTTGCTTGCAGATGTTGGTCCAGTAAATGTCCAGTGTGTTATCACTGCTGTGTAACATGCTCCTGTATGTCTCTGCTGGTCCTCAGGGTGACTTCCCCTGGGACGAGAAGGACTTCAGGTACTTGGCGGTCACCGTGGCTGGAGTCAGTTCAGTTCTGCTGTATTTATACTTCAGAGACAACGGCAGAGAGATCAGCTGGAAGGACTTCGTCCACCGCTACGTGGCCAGGGGAATGGTGAGGAGGAACTTTATACTGGAACATTTATACTGGGATGTACTGAGAACTTGACATGATTTAGAGTTCAAACGGTGTCATTTGCCTTGAATAAGTGAAAAGTTAAAAAAAAAGTAAGTGAAAAAGACTGTAAACATGAATCATATTATGTACGTATGTTTTTCTGTTCAGGTGGAGCGCTTAGAGGTCGTCAACAAACAGTATGTCAGAGTCATCCTGGTGCCGGGAGCCGACCCTGATGCGGTGAGAAGAAATAATCTGATATGGAAGCAGACATTTTAACCTCATTTCATTTCATTGTACGTTAATCATGTAGCCCCTTGGCGAGGCACATTGAACCCAGAACAACAGGGAACAGCACTACAGTAATATATCAACAATATCTCAGGGTCTCCACTATCAGGAAGTTAAAAGTTATAAAATTAGAAAAACGGTTTTCCAGGCCTGGAGATGGTTTGGAATGAACAGAATGCTTTGGAAAAAAATTGAATATACATTGTTTTGGCTATTGTTTAAAATGCGTTTATAAAAATCCCCAATGAGGTTTTCTGAGTTTTGCAAAGTATTCGCATGTGCTGGTGTGGTCTATTGGCACGTGCAACTAGTTGAGTGAAGTGAAGTTATTAAGTTTGTTTATCCACAAATGCCAGCTAAGTACATGTTCAATAGTGAATGGTTGTGTCATGATATAGGCCTGCCCATTTTAAACTACTACTAAAAAAAGGCATGGAAATGGAGTAAAATATAACGTAGAGGTTGTGGAAAAGTTTTGAAAATTTATTGGGGAAATTGTGGGAAGGCTGATATCTACTAATGGGTAGGTTTAGTCATACAAGCAAACAACATGAAGAAACAAAACACTGCTGAACATTTCTGATTGTAGACACTTCTTGATGCATGCAGACGTGCAGCGCAGCAATAAGACACAAGTAAAATACAACATTCATAATGGAGATAGTTAAAAATGTTAAAAAATACAGGTATAACTCTGATATGACACAAAAACATAGAAGCCACGCAACAAAGAGTCGTGACACAACTATACCTAACTGAAACTTTATAGTTTATATGAAGCCAGAAAATATTGTCATGACATTCTGAATGAATGTGTGAACATTTGCTGCATTTTGCCAAAAATATAATATGTAATGTTAAAATTAAAAATTAAAAATGATTTAGTCTCTGTCAATAAAGACCCAAAAAATCAAATACTCTAACAAAATAAAACGGTAACAATAAAGCCTGATTTATGGTCCTGCGGCGTACCTACGACGTACCTACGTCGTTGCCATGACGCAGTTGTGAACCCTTCGAACTTCTCCGTCACTCCATTTCGTCGCGGTGCAATTCACCGCCAGAGCGGTAGGAGGCTGCGTTCCTTTCCTGAATGGTTATCGTCGTCTCTAGTTGATTCTTTGTTTAGCTTCCGGCTTTTCCGGTCACAGAGAGATGAACGCGGAGCACGGACAGACGGCTCCGTCCGTATCCGTATTGAACGTTGAGCATAAATGGGCCTTAATACTGCAACATCTACAGTACAGGCCAAAAGTTTGGACACACCTTCTCATTCAATGCGTTTTCTTTATTTTCATGACTATTTACATTGTAGATTCTCACTGAAGTCATCAAAACTATGAATGAACACATGTAGAGTTATGTACTTAACAAAAAAAGGTGAAATAACTGAAAACATGTTTTATATTCTAGTTTCTTCAAAATAGCCACCCTTTGCTCTGATTACTGCTTTGCACACTCTTGGCATTCTCTCCATGAGCTTCAAGAGGTAGTCACCTGAAATGGTTTTCCAACAGTCTTGAAGGAGTTCCCAGAGGTGTTTAGCACTTGTTGGCCCCTTTGCCTTCACTCTGCGGTCCAGCTCACCCCAAACCATCTCGATTGGGTTCAGGTCCGGTGACTGTGGAGGCCAGGTCATCTGCCGCAGCACTCCATCACTCTCCTTCTTGGTCAAATAGCCCTTACACAGCCTGGAGGTGTGTTTGGGGTCATTGTCCTGTTGAAAAATAAATGATCGTCCAACTAAACGCAAACCGGATGGGATGGCATGTCGCTGCAGGATGCTGTGGTAGCCATGCTGGTTCAGTGTGCCTTCAATTTTGAATAAATCCCCAACAGTGTCACCAGCAAAACACCCCCACACCATCACACCTCCTCCTCCATGCTTCACAGTGGGAACCAGGCATGTGGAATCCATCCGTTCACCTTTTCTGCGTCTCACAAAGACACGGCGGTTGGAACCAAAGATCTCAAATTTGGACTCATCAGACCAAAGCACAGATTTCCACTGGTCTAATGTCCATTCCTTGTGTTTCTTGGCCCAAACAAATCTCTTCTGCTTGTTGCCTCTCCTTAGCAGTGGTTTCCTAGCAGCTATTTGACCATGAAGGCCTGATTGGCGCAGTCTCCTCTTAACAGTTGTTCTAGAGATGGGTCTGCTGCTAGAACTCTGTGTGGCATTCATCTGGTCTCTGATCTGAGCTGCTGTTAACTTGCGATTTCTGAGGCTGGTGACTCGGATGAACTTATCCTCAGAAGCAGAGGTGACTCTTGGTCTTCCTTTCCTGGGTCGGTCCTCATGTGTGCCAGTTTCGTTGTAGCGCTTGATGGTTTTTGCGACTCCACTTGGGGACACATTTAAAGTTTTTGCAATTTTCCGGACTGACTGACCTTCATTTCTTAAAGTAATGATGGCCACTCGTTTTTCTTTAGTTAGCTGATTGGTTCTTGCCATAATATGAATTTTAACAGTTGTCCAATAGGGCTGTCGGCTGTGTATTAACCTGACTTCTGCACAACACAACTGATGGTCCCAACCCCATTGATAAAGCAAGAAATTCCACTAATTAACCCTGATAAGGCACACCTGTGAAGTGGAAACCATTTCAGGTGACTACCTCTTGAAGCTCATGGAGAGAATGCCAAGAGTGTGCAAAGCAGTAATCAGAGCAAAGGGTGGCTATTTTGAAGAAACTAGAATATAAAACATGTTTTCAGTTATTTCACCTTTTTTTGTTAAGTACATAACTCCACATGTGTTCATTCATAGTTTTGATGCCTTCAGTGAGAATCTACAATGTAAATAGCCATGAAAATAAAGAAAACGCATTGAATGAGAAGGTGTGTCCAAACTTTTGGCCTGTACTGTACATCGCAACAGAAGATGTTTAAAGATGGTGGGGATGGCGCAATCTGGAAATACGGAATCGAAAATGCGTTGCTACCAAGCAAACCAATCACAGCCCTCTCGGTCTGCGCTGGGTCTGTGTCGCCTCGACGTGTAGTTACATTTTTGGGGAGGTGCACGTCAGGCTACGCCGGGGGCTACGGCGAGCCTCCTGCGTAGCCACGTACCCTACGACGTAGCGACATCGTTGATTTAACGCAGGACCATAAATCAGGCTTAAGTCACAGATTTTTCACAGACTGAAAAGTTGCAGGAAGACGCAACATCTTACTGTGCCCACTCTTTTTTTTTTTTTTCCAAGCCCCGCGTTAGCAGGGCATCAGAAAATTGAGTAAAACTCTTAGTGTTCCTCTCCACGGAAATCTTTAGTAAAAGGCGAAAGATTTATACGATCTGAAGAGAAACAAGAGTGATCTTGCCCACTCATTTTTTAAATAATACACAATCTTATGAGACATCATGAAATCTTATGTGACCTGCAGAGCTACGTCTGGTTCAACATCGGCAGCGTCGACACGTTTGAGAGGAATCTGGAGGCGGCGCACACGGAACTCGGCCTGGAGCCGTCACACAGACTTGCTGTCATCTACAGCACAGAGAGTGACGGGTGAGTTTAACACGTCAACACCTGTGCTGTCATTGGTGCACGTTATGGAAACCAGTGGGTTCCATTGTTCCCCCCTCTGTTTCCACAGCTCCTTCCTGTTGAGCATGATACCCACCCTGCTGCTGATTGGCTTCCTGCTCTTCACCCTGCGGCGAGGACCAATGGGAGGAGGCCCCGGCGGCGGGAGGGGCGGGCCCTTCAGTATGAGCGAGTCCACGGCGAAGATGATGAAGGACAACATTGAGGTGAAGTTCAAGGACGTGGCCGGCTGCGAGGAGGCCAAGCTGGAGATCCTGGAGTTCGTCAACTTCCTGAAGAACCCACAGCAGTACCAGGACCTCGGGGCCAAGATCCCAAAGGTAACAGAAAACACACGGACACACGCAGGGCTCCAGGGCGTGACAGCAGGTCCTGACAGAGGCGGGGATTTGGGGTGAGTTTAGGAGGACAAGTGTGAAAATTGAAGTCTAAAATAAAGAATGAGGCTGCTGAGATTTTTACTTGCTCTGTTATCCATTGTAAAAATGAACTGTAGCTTCAGTCAGGGTGCCGGTGTCTGTAGCTTTGTGACAAATAAAGACTTAAAAGAAGTTTTTTCCCAGGGTGCCGTGCTGTCCGGACCTCCTGGGACAGGGAAGACTCTGCTGGCTAAAGCCACAGCCGGAGAGGCCAACGTCCCCTTCATCACCGTCAACGGCTCCGAGTTCCTGGAGATGTTTGTGGGCGTCGGTCCTGCCAGGGTGAGTAAAGGAAACCAGATCAGATATCTGTCAGACCACAGGACCCCACTCAGATCTTTACTGAAGTGATGTGAAACATTACACCAAAAAACAATAAAACAAAACAAAATAAGTTGTTTCCTCCGTCATTTTCCAACATATTTTAGCAGTTGGTCTTGAGTAATGCCAATGGTTTCCATTTTTCTTCCATGTGTCCCCCTCGGAGTCTCAAGATTCGTTTCAGATTTACCATTAAGATGATTTTTTCAACAGTTTTTTAGCCATTGGTCCTCACCTACCTGAGCTTCCTTCCCCAAGTTCCTTGGAATAATTTTTTGTTTTACTTGCATTATTTTACCCAAACATCTGTCACTTACATCATTTTAAAATATCATCATCATCATCATCATCTCAAAATGCTGTCATAATCTTTCAGTTTAATTTTTTAAAATCCTTAAATGTCAATATAATAACTAATAACAAAAGCTTTTTCTTTTGATGATTGGATATTCAGAGGCTTAAAAAAGAAGTATGAATTTCAGCTAAAGACTATTTATAAAGATGGACGATATGACAGCTCCTCAAAAGTGAAGCCGAAACATCTCGATCGCCCCCTGGTGGCTGGCTGCAGTACCGGTCATAAAGCCTACCCTCTCAGTGTTAATGAATGGGACGTGGGCCAAACTAAAAACTTAAAGTGAATGTCAAATACATGTTTCCCAAAGATGGTTTCTGTCATTTAAGGTAGTTTTTATCATGCTGCTGTTCCAAGGGTTCATTTTTCTGATAGGTTTGGTTTTAAGTAGTTATTAAATGCTATAAAATGAGAATTCTACAACATGATTGACAGCTGTGTGAGCCAGTCAGTGGGCTCACATTCAGTGGCGCTGTTCGCGATTGGTGAAACAGGTGTGTGGGCAGGAAACTTGATACCGTGGAGCTCAGACTCTGGCTCCAAATGACATCACCAGAGCAAGAAGGCAGTGGCCATATCCAGGATATATTAGCTTGACTTCTGTACAGTGGAGGGATGTGGAGACACTTCGTCCATCTTTAGAAACAGTCAATGATTTTAACTGAATTATGTGAACTGCGAAAATTCCATTTCCATTTAAGTTTCAGTACATTGCTCTCACTATTTGTAATGTTTAAAATTGATGGATGGTCAGTAACAGAAACATTTGGTTCAGGCGACCTCTGACCCAGACTCTCCTCAACAGTTATGATGTCTGTGGAACTGCAGTATCAGATTTTTCCAAGAGAGTTTCCTCTATGTCTGTGTAGAGGCAGATGTATGTCTTCCACATGTTTTGCCAAACATTATCTGACATTTCAATATTCAGTGTCTCAATCTCACAGATATCTCTCTGGATTCAGTGTTAGAGACGTAAGACGAAGCATGAACTACTCTGGGTGGATGAATGAGGAGAAACAGCCGTCATGTTTGTTCACTCTGATAATCTGATGTTGCAGTGACAATGATTGATTGAGTTTCCTCCTCCACAGGTGAGGGACATGTTCTCCATGGCGAGGAAGAACGCCCCCTGCATCCTCTTCATCGATGAGATCGACGCTGTGGGGAGGAAGAGGGGAGGGGGGAACTTTGGTGGTCAGAGTGAACAGGAGAACACATTGAACCAGCTGCTGGTGGAGATGGACGGTACGATGAAGATGAGCTCAGTCTTCAGGTTTGGATTTCAAACAGTGTTTTATTAATAACTGCATGTTTTTTATATTGTTGCAGGTTTCAACACGGCGACTAACGTGGTGGTCCTGGCTGGAACCAACAGACCCGACATCCTGGATCCTGCTCTGATGAGACCGGGACGCTTCGACAGACAGATCTACATAGGTAGAGTTCAACGCTGAGAGCTGATTGGTGCTTCTGGTGAAGCTGAAAGAGTCATCACTTCCTTTGGGGCTTTGGAGCAGGGATGGAGAAGGGGTCCTCAGGGCAAAGAGTTTGTCTTATTTCCACCTAAGAATTATCTGTTGATCTACGGAAGACTTTCTCAGTTCCTTAGTTAAGGCTCTCTAAGTCTTCCTAAGCTTGAAAAGTTTTTGTCACACACAGCAAACATCTCCTCACGATCCTCTAGCTACATGTCCTCTGAATATGCTGTGAAAAGTCAGGTCTCTGTAGGCAGCCCAGGCTCCGCACATGGCAACAACAACACTTCACTTCTGTTTACCTTCAACAATGTTATCAAACACAACGGAGCTAGCTCGCCTTTTAGCCTCATTGTAGCCTGTAGCTCTAACTGCCTCTCTGGGCACCACGTTCATGTGTGTGCTTGCGTTCGCTGGTCTGGCGCTGGCTGGTTGGTGCAGCCTGGACCACAATGTTTTTGTTGCCATGTGCGGAGCCTGGGCTGCCTACAGAGACCGGACTTTTCCACAGCATATTCAGAGGACATGTAGAGGATCGTGAGGAGATGTTCGCTGTATGTGACAAAAACTTTTCAAGCTTAGGAAGACTTAGAGAGCCTTTAATTTCTTGGCCAAACATCAGTCACAGTTTCCATGAGCCCCTGTTGATATCTGCATATTATTTGATTAATATTTTTATTTATTTATTTTTTTTTTACATGCATTTATCTCTATGCCTGACCGATAGGAAAAACTCACAGATATTTGGTTATCTGTAAATTAAGGAAAAGAAAGGCAGCAGTCCTCAAAACTGAGCAGCTGGAAGCATCAAATATTTGACTCAGATGATTAAGTGATTATTAAAATAATTTCCTGGTTATTGATTAATTGACTAACTGTTTTAGCTCAGTTACAACATTATATGGACTTTTATATACTTTAAAATAACATATTTATGTGAATAATATTAAGTAGATAAATAATGCAATACGAGAACTGCTACAAGTCGACAGTAGAAGTTATACTGATGGAGGGCATTTAGTTTTTTTTCTCACTACAAACTTTTCCAGGCTGAATCATTATTATTATTATTATTATTATTGTTATTGTTTTAAAAAGTGATTAAAAAATTATCATTTAAAAGATCTTTTAACAAATAATTATGTTCTTTTTAAGTCATTAAAAAAATATTTAGACAAATAATTTAGACGATAAAAAAATCATTAGAAAATAATTACAAAACATTTTAAATTTTAATTAATAACGTTAAAATATTAAAAAAAAAATCATTATTATATCATTTATTATATATATCATTCATTAAATCATTATTTTTGTTTTCTTATCATCCCAGACTTAACTGGCTAAATAGATCATATTTTAATATTATTGGTAGTATTCTTATTCCTCTTATTCTTCCTCTAGTTATTATCATTTTTAAAAAATAATTTATAAAGAAAATTAAAAATAATTCACCACTTTTTGAATCATAAATGTTTATCAATCAATGTTTAAAGTATTGCACATTTTCCAATATAAAGGACAATAGAAAACAAAATGAAGCTGATTCTTTGTGCCACTGAGACAACACAACGTCATCACATATCTACTGGTACATTAAAATATCTACTTCTTACATAAATTATATATTTTCACTATTTTTGTATTTTCTCATCTTAAACGTAACCAGGCTGGTTTAGTCCATTTATCATCATTGTTCTTTATTCTCAGTTTACACGTCCAGTGTTGATCTTTTCATCGTTTATTTATTAGTTATTAATTATGCAATATTGTGCATAATGTGTTGAACCAAGATCTGATCATTTATTACTCCCAATAAACATCTTGTCTTATCATTTTGTTTCCTTCCATGTTAATTCACTGATTGTGTACCTGAAGCAAAGTTTAGGTTTTAAATGTTTGGTGTCAGAAGACTGAGGGTTTTTCTTTTCTCCCGTCTCCTCTCAGGTCCTCCGGACATCAAGGGCAGAGCGTCCATCTTTAAAGTCCACCTGCGACCAATCAAACTGGACCCCAACATGGACAAAGACGTTCTGGCCAGGAAGATGGCTGCTGCCACGCCAGGATTCACTGGTACGTCACAGAAACATCGTCTGTCACAGTTTAGTGTTTTCATTACAGCTGTCAGAGACATGTAGAAGAATTTAAAACATGATGGTGGAGTCAGTCAGTTTGTTTGAACATCTGGATGCTCAGTTAACGCTGAATGACCTAAACAAACTGACAGAAGAGAGATGAAAAATTTGAAGGAAATGTTATGGAGGGTAGACCTCTGTTAGTTAGACACACTTTCAAACCAAATTAGGTTAGTCATAAAGTGTTGACAACCTTTAGATTGGTTTATTAAAAAAAAAAATGGTGTAAGATATTCAGAGGAAATCAGCATTTCACCACTACTAGCACTCAAACAATACAGCACTTAAATATATATATATGTTTTTTAAAGGTTTTATATCGTAGGCAAGGCAGTTTTATTTTTGTTGCACATTTTATACACCAGGTCAATTCAATGTGCTTTTCAATATACAGCAAAGATACAGGAGTTACAAGTTCAGAGTTCAAATAAGTGATGTGAAGGAAACAGATTTTAGAAGTAAGCTTTTGCAGTTTGAGAATTAAAGTAAAATAAAATAATTTAATATTAAAAACTTCAATATTTAGATTAACAAGTAAATGAAATTAGAAATAATTAATAGGTAGATTATGCTGTGTGAAGACCACAGACTCTGAGCTTGTCTAAAATCATTTGCTAACTCTTGTTAGCATGTCTGTGGCTATAGATGATGTCTTTAGCAAACTAGTCTCAAAGTTTGTGGATGTGTGTGTTTCATCAGGAGCTGACATCGCTAATGTCTGCAACGAGGCGGCACTGATCGCTGCTCGACATCTCAACGAGTCCGTCAACGCCAAACACTTTGAACAGGCCATCGACCGGGTCATTGGAGGTCAGTGTGATGTCACAAACTGACCCAACTCACAATCCTCTCTCTTTTTTCATCAACTTTTATTTGACATGTTCCTGTTTTTATTTCACTCTGCATCATAAACACATATTTGATTTCCTTTAATGTAAATAACATAAACGAGAGCAGTAAAACATCAACAGTCATCATCCAGTTTGTTTTTGTCGCTGTCAGACATCAGTTTATAAGTAGTGTGTTTTCAGGTCTGGAGAAGAAGACTCAGGTCCTGCAGCCCACAGAGAAGAAGACTGTAGCGTATCATGAAGCGGGTCACGCCATCGTGGGCTGGTTCCTGCAGCACGCCGACCCGCTGCTGAAGGTACGTCTGATGTCTTTACACTGTCTGTGTTCATAGCTCTTGTAGTGACAAAATGTCTGACATTTAGAGAGAGATTTAAAACTCGACATGGGTCAGTATCAAAGTGTCAGTGTGTCATTAAGACACAAAAACAAAAACAACTATTTGAAGTTTTAATAATGCTGGTAAAAATAAAATAAAAAATACTTTGTAAAATTATTATTATAAATCATTAAAGATAATACAAATAATCTTTTAAGAATAAAAACAAATATATAAATTCAAAAATCATTTTAACATGTTAAAACATTTTAAGAAAATATGCTACATGACTTTTTTTTTGTACAAAACTGTAAAATAACTCATAAACACATTTGCTGTGCTTCCAGGTGTCGATCATCCCGCGGGGGAAGGGTCTGGGTTACGCCCAGTACCTGCCCAGAGAGCAGTACCTGTACAGCAGAGAGCAGCTGTTCGACAGGATGTGTATGATGCTCGGAGGCCGCGTGGCCGAGCAGGTCTTCTTCGGCAAGATCACCACCGGAGCTCAGGACGACCTGAAGAAGGTCACGCAGTCCGCCTACGCTCAGGTAAACAACACACACACACCTGACAGGTCTGTTGTATTCGAAGTGTTTTCCCACCCTGTCAGCTGCTTCTCCTCCCCGACTCCCCTCCAGGTGGTGCAGTTTGGGATGAGTGAGAAGGTGGGACAGGTGTCGTTCGACCTGCCCCGGCAGGGTGAGATGGTCATGGAGAAGCCGTACAGCGAGGCCACAGCAGAGCTCATCGACGAGGAGGTCAGGGAGCTGGTGGAGCGAGCGTACGAGAGAACGCTGGCGCTCATAGAGGAAAAGAAGGAGCTGGTGGAGATGGTGAGACTCTGATGGATCGTGTGCTGGTTACTGTGCAGAGGTTCAGGTCTCCTGGTGCTGCTGCAGCATCACTGCGTCTAAACCTGCATGTACCATTTAATGATTGAAAACACAAGGGCTTTCAAAAACTAATAAATTATAGTCAACAATAACTCACAAACAAACTTGAGTTTAGTTCTATGGAAAATTATGAAGTTCCTAATTTTCCAGCTGCATCATTTTATTTTTTCAACTTGTTACATGTTTTCTCTTGATGGAAATAAATGAATAAATGAAAACAAAATTTACAATAAATAGGAAAAAGGGATGATAATGATAATAATAAAATATATTACAAATAAAAGTTTAAGTAAATATAAACAAATAAATAATAAAATTGTTAAATGCAAATAAATTAAAAAACGATGATGGTAATTAAGACCCAAAAAATGTAAATTAATAATAATAATAATACAATTATTTTGTAAAATTATTATAATAAATTAGATATAATTTTACAAGTGCTTTAAAAAAAACATTAAAAAAGATTATCAAAACATAATTTAAAAAGATGAAAAATTTCAGAAAAAGAAAATATTTAAAACAAAAAGTTCTCTTAAATATATTGAAATGTAATATATTATATTTTAAGAAATAATATTTGTATTAAAAACAAACAGTTTTCCAACTGAACAGCGTAAACAATAACATTTGATAAATGATCCTCACCCTCACTGGCACTTCTATTTTTTCTTGTCTAAAAACCACAGCAGCTGCTTCACTTCACTGGACATGAAAAAAAACATATAAAACAATTCCTGAATGCCGCAGGTATTTTTCCCAGGAAAAGAGGGGGTAGATACAGTCATATATTTTGGCATTCATCCCTGGTTTCTCCCTCAGGTGGGGAAGCGTCTCCTGGATAAGGAGGTCCTGGACAAGGCGGACATGTTGGAGCTGCTGGGCCCGCGGCCTTTCGAGGAGAAGTCTACGTACGAGGAGTTTGTGGAGGGGACAGGAAGCTTTGAGGAGGACACGAGTCTGCCAGAGGGGCTCAAAGACTGGAACCAGGAGAGAGGAGGGGAGGCGGAGGAGACGAGCCCGACTCAGGACAGACAGCAGGCCGTGTAGAGCCGCGAGACTCAGATAAGACAAACAAACGCTTCACATCCCAGCCGCAAAAAAACCCAACAACCAACTTGACGCTGCCTCAGTTTCACAGACTCTGGGAGGAAAAATGATTCCCACAGATTAGTGATCCATGCCGTCAATTGACTTTATTTCCCTCAGGTTAATGATTAAGACACTTAAATGACTGAATCCATCACAGCAGATTCCGTTTCATCTAGTCTCACCATAGACTGCACTGATTTAGATTTTAATTTGCACAGACGTGGATATATTTCAGTTTTTTCTGTTAAAATTTTCTGGATCTTTTCTGTTGCTGAACAAAAGGAGGCAAAAACATTATTCAAGAGCACAAAGTATTATTTCAAGGACACAAATGAAGTCATTAAAGCGTATGAATTACTAATCTGAGGGAGTGATGGTCAGAAATGTTCCTCACGAGATCCACCAGGCTCCGCACAACCTACATGTGGACTGTAGTTTCACTGAGGCTGCCATCAGTTTGTGTTTTCACTGTTCGGACAGGAAGTTGCTCCAAACTGCCTTAACACTGATCAGACTGACTGTTTGAAATATTCCCCAGCAGAGTGTGAATGAGGCACATTTACAGCGTGTGAACACACTGACTTTTCTTTTTATTTATTGTATAAAAAGGGAGTTTCGCTCCCCGACTGACGAGGAAGAGACGGCTTGAAGAACTTTTCCTGCAGCTAAATTTTAAACATTTTTACTGGTTTAAATATTTTTGAGAATTGATGTGAAGTTATTTTTGTTTCCTGCCATTTTTACATTTCAATGAAGTTTTCTTTGATTAACTGGCAGCACTGACACGTTTCACCCTGTGCAGTAGAGGTGGGAATCTCCAGAAGACCCACGATACGATATTATTGCGACATGCTGAGTGTTGCGATACAATAAATTCTGATATATTGCAATTTTTTCCAACTGCAATTTTTTTTCTCCCAAAGAAACACTTAACTTTATTTTATAAGGTAAAAGTTTTCAGTCTGCTCATGGACTTTAATCATTTATGTAGCAACTCAATGTGACACAGAGCAGACGGCCGACCAACACTGTCATAACACCTGTCAGAAATACTGCAGTCACCTGACAGACTGAACTGTGGGCAGATTTAACGCCCTCTGAGAGGCCAGATTAAGCAGGTATGTGACAGACCTCACATGCAGGAGTCCCGCTAACTGAATGGCAGCAGCCATGTTAGAAGTGTCGTGTGTTACATTGTTGTGCGGCAGGTCTGCTGTGTTTGCTCCGCTGTGACTTTAGTGAGTCATGATTCCTCAGCTCTATGCGTCACGTCTCTGTAGAGACAGAGAGGTACGGCTGTATTGGTGAAAAACGTGGGGGCGGAGTCACATAACTGGGTTCACATGTTTTTAACATGTAACAAAAGCCTTGGTTCTCAACATCGCTGTATGGACGCACATCTTTACACAGGAAGTAGGTGATGGACGTGTTATTTTCTTCACTCGGGTCCTAAGCATGTCCAGTGTTGGCTGATTTTTCCGCAGAGCAGGTTTAGCGTTAGCTTGGCCATCAGCGGCAAACAGTAGCTCTGGATGGTGGCGTGAGGTGAGCCCTCATCTCAGTAGTATTTTATTCTTGCTTGCAAATGGCATGTGTCATATCCAAGTCCTCCTTTCCTTCTGCCTTTAAAAAATCCAAAACAAGTCCAGACGTTTGATTTAAACGCCGGCGATAAATTTCTGATTTCTTTCTCTGGTGAACTTCCTGTCTGAAACCTCTGCTGACCTCACCAGGATAAAAACATCAGCACCATCTAGTGGACTGAAAAAGCAACTGATTTTTATTATTCTAGTACCAAAAGCTGTATTAAAATGTGTATTATAAAAATCAATAATATATACTGTGTATCGATAAAATATTGCGATACTGTGCTGTTTGGATTTCCCCACCTCTACTGTTCAGCTTTGTTTTATACAAACAACTCGATGCTGTACAAAGATGATTGTATGGATTTTGTGTGATAACGAATCGACAGGAAGCTGCTACATCACCAGCAGCCCCACTGGCTGATGGGACACATTAATAATATCAGATATTAATATTTGAGTATTTCTGCTGATTCAACTCCGGTTCAGACACTGAAACAAAAAATCATTTGTCTTCATGACTTCCGGCTTCATTTATCTTTTCCACCTCAACACAGTTTCACAAACTGAGGCCTCATTTAACCTTTTAGTGTTTTTAATCACCAGCTCCCCTGAAGAGAGTAAAACCAATTAAATTAATCTTTATTAACATTATTAAGAGCCAAAAGACGCTAACCATTCAGACACAATTGTAAACACATGAGAGACGTTCTGTTGTTTGGTGACAAATTCCCTTTATTACAGCTCAGTGTATCTCCTTGAATAAAATATAAAATACATCAACCTGAGCATGACACTGAGCTACTGTGTCTTTAGTTGCCGAAACAACTTCATCAAATTGTAAAACAAACACCTGTGTAACAGAACGTAAGTTATTTAATGTTGATTTAAAACAGTGAAAATGAGTAAAACAAAAGGTCTGTCATTCAAATGTGGCTATAACAGCTCGTCTGATTGAGTCCAGGTCAAGTTTAAAGCCTCTTTCTAAAATTAGTCATTTAAAGATGCTGTTAAACCTTCAGGTATGACACGCTGCTCCCACATTAAATGCAGCTGCACACTAAACTCTGCTTTCATTTTTTTCATCCACAGTTTATGCAAACATGTTATTAGGGGCTGCAGCTAACGATGTAGCCAGTTAATCTGTAGATTTCTGCTCAATGAATCGTTTGGTCTACAAAACAGCGTTTGAGAAAACGGTGAAAAAAAGCCTGTAACAACATCCCCGAGACAAAAGTGACTTTATCAAATGTCTTGTTTTGTCCAACCAACATTTCCAAACCTTAAACTATCAAATTAACTATAAAGTAAGACAAAGAAAAGCAGCAAACCCTCACGTTTAAAATGTCAACTTTGAAATAAAGACTTAAAGGAGCAGTGTGCCAGATTTCGGGGGATTTAGTGGTGTCTAGTGGTGAAGATTGAAACCAACTAAACTCCCAGTTAGAATTCCTTCAGTGTTCATTGTTCAAGAGGTTTTTACCAGGAGCTGAATTATCCACAGAAGTCTCTTCTCTCCAAAACAAACAGAGCAGCTGATTTTAACCAGTGAAGACACTGAATAAAACAGTTTCTCAAAAACAAGTAAATTAGTTTTTAAAAAAAGGAAAGTGCTTAAAAATTAAAATAATTCTGTAACATCATTTTAAAATGTAATAATAATAATTATAAATATGGTTTTTCCCTTTTTCTTTAAACAATTTTCTAAATCTATTATTTTTTGCAATTTGTAGGACATTTCCTACCAAGTTGCTCATTGCCATTTTCCCCATGGTTTTGAAAAAAAAAAAAAATTGCACCAATTTTCTGAGGTTTCAAAAGTTTAAATTCTCGTGAAAGACGTCTGAAAGCAGCACAAGAAAAGTGACATCGCTCCAGGTTTGAAAGAAAAATGTTCTTCTTATATTTTGTCCCATTCATGCTGACATATCGCCCTAAATCCTTCACACTGGACCTTTAAATCGTTCATTTCTTATTAAAGTTGTTGCAGATTTAAAATTAAAATTGATCAGTAATAAATAATTAAATCTGATCTGATTTAGACTCGTCAGGACTTCCAGAAACCTCAATAATAAAATCACACATTCCAAAGTCTGCATGATATTAATAATTCAGGCACTGCTTCCATCTAAACTTCCCTGTCCTAGAAATGGCTGAAATAATAATATTGGCTGAAATAAAAGTAACGGCCCAAACAAAGACACAAGTGATCACAGTTTCTATGTGGGATTTTTTTTTCTTAACGTCACATTATTTTTGTTGTTGTTGCTGCTGGTGTCCAGCGGGTGGCGTCCTCACTGTGACTGCAGGCAGAATGTGAATGTGTTAACAGCAGGAGGGCTCGACTGACAGTTGAGATACTTGATGTTAAAATGCTGCTAAATCCGAACCAACTTCAGTCTCTGAGTCTGTGAACGCTGCCTCGGAGAGTTTGGCGACTAAATTAAAAATATTAAAGCTGAAAAACAAAATTTGGCCTCGAACACACGAGTCAGTGGAACCCTCCTGTACATGGACTGTGTATTTAAACTGCTGAAGTGTACACACACGTTATGACAGAAACATAAACGTGTTCTGTTTGACAGTAATTTGCTGAAGTAAAACACCACGTCATGTAACGTCAGGAAACATAAAACGAGCTCTTTATATCAAAATCTGAATTTGAGTTTTCAAATGTAAGAGCTGGGATTTTCATTATAACTACCTTTGATGTAGAAACACAACTCTGTTAAAACAGGCAAAATGATAACGGCTTTTTATTTCTGCAGATTAATGCGTTGTTTGGGAGTTAGCAGTTAGCCACGTGCTAATTCTGTAGTTTACTGTGAGTAAGACTCAGAGACGAGCATTTGAAATGATTTCTCTTCATTCAGAGCCTCACGTGTCTCAGTTTGTTTAAGCTTTTTTAAGTGGAGTCGTGTTTCCTAAAATCTTTCCAACAGAGTTCGACAGCAACAACATTAATAATCAGAATGGCCACAATAATGGAAATCTTTAGTCATCTTGGGAACACAGGGTCATTATTTTGTTATTGAGATTTCATAGCTTGTTTTCTCATGAGTACGTGTTTAGTTGTGTCGATTCTTGAGAAAGCAAAAGGCAGATTTCTCAAGATGACTAAATCATTGATCGGTGTGATTAAAGGTAACGACGGCTCACTTGAGCGTAGCATAACTGCTGCGTGAGCTTAAACAAAAGCAGTTTTCTCGTGATAAATGATTTCGCTATCTTGAGAAATCGGCCATTTGTTTTCTCAGGAAATAACATACATTAACCCAATATCAAGAGAAACTAAATAATTAATTTGTGAACCTGAGATAACAGTAAAAAGTAAAACCAATTTCGCAAGCACGACTGTTCTTTGCTTCTCTATATAACACCTATGGTTGCAACGGTTTATCGGTTTCAAGGTATACCGTCATGTTATAATTGACAATTATCGGACCGTTTACATTTGCTTCTCGACAATAATCAGGGAAAAAAAGCACCTGGACAGAAAATCTCAATTTTATTTTAGTTATTTTTTAAAACGGAGATTTTGTACACAAACTCTGAAGTGTCAAATATAGTAATAAAATGTTTGTTTAACCAAAAATAACTGTCCATTTTAATTCCTTTAAGGGTCATTCTGGCTGATAGTAATAATTATAATTCTGTGATACCATGAAACCACGATATTTTCTCATACCGTAAAAATCTCATACTGTTCCAACCCTAAAAATAACCCTGGCAAATGTTGTTTTTGCTGAGCTGCAGTGGTTTTACTGTCTGTGACCAAAAGGATGTGCTCAGTCAGACAACAGAAACTCATGTTTCATCACCACATTTGGTTCAACGTTACACCAACAACCTGTTGACAGATAGGTTTATAATCTGTGATTGCTAACTGTAATGTGACCTTTAAGAAAACATGTCAGAAAATATTCACCTGAAGCTTCTGTCAACATCATCTCTCATTTCCAAGTAGAAAACAGTTTGTTTGGGAAGAGTTGGACGTAATGAGTTGAAGCACTACACACACACACACACACACACACACACACACACACACACACACACACACACACACACTCTGCCTTCAGCTTCACTGGTGAGTTCAGTTTCTGAAACACAACCAGCAAGAATTGTGCACCAGGTCAGAACAAACAAAAGACTTCTTTTGATCTTGAAGTTACCAAAATAATGAGCAATTTTCTGATTCCTTGGGGAGAAAAAAAGAGGAAGAGTCAACGAGCGCCGCTCCAGGAAACACTTTGGGTTTCTTTAGACGGGAAGATGTGACTGCTGTTTCTTGTAGCCTACCTGCAACTAAAAGTCTCTGGATCCAAGCAAGTGTAAATGTTTTTACAGTGCTGCACTTAATTTGAGGATAAACTCAACACCTGATGCAACAGATAAGTTCTGACTATGACACGACTAACTCAGGTTTAAAGAAAAGCTGCTGCAGTCACATCCATGTTACCTGCAGGTAAATAATCTGTATGACACTGCTTAATGTTTGGCCACTGCATTTCCTGTTGACTTTTGACCCCTCAAAGAGCTGAATGTGTTTAGTCCTGCTTTTTGTCTCTCTTTTTTTAAAACTGTAAATCATTTGAATGTAAAACTCTAATTTATTTACAATATTTCTGTATCAAAAGCTACAAAGATGTTACATTCTTTGAGTTTAATGGCAAAACTTCTCCACACAAGCTGCACTGCTTACATCTGTCCATCAGTCTGTTCCAGCAGAGCAGGATTCTTTGTTCCTCGTTCACTTTAAAGTTCAGGAAGGAGAAGTAAGTCTTAAAAAAATGGAAATAGCCCTTAATGTCCACTGCAGAGAGAACAGAAACTCGTCTGAACAGCAGGAAGAAGAAAAGAATCTGAGAAGTCCCATTGTCTCCTGTGGTGAGTAAAAAACGTCCTTTGGCTACCTGCTCCACGTTTTTTCCTTTACTTTCCTGCTGTCTCCCTTGGTGGGCCCTGATTGGTTGGCTGGTCCCTTCTTTACGTACAATGGTGGAGGAGAGATGAGACGAGCAGAGAGGCTGAGAAGACAGAGAGGGACAGGGAGATGGCCGACGCTCCGCCGCAGTCCTTTGCATCTTCCTGTTGTAAGTATTTTAACATCAGAATTAATAACAATACAGATACTTTTGTATTATTGGTTGCAGGTGTATTTCTGCATTATGTAGAAATATATATTTCTACATAAAAATATGTATAAATATGTGTTTCTTTGTTTCTTATCAATGCACAGCAATTTAGTATTTTATTATTATTAGTAAATGTAGTAGTCATAGTATAGTATGTCATCAAAAAAAAGTCATACAATGGCATGTCATCAAAAATCACCAAAAAAACAGAGTATAGTATGTCGTCCAAAATCACGAAAAAAAGTCATAGCATAGCATGTCGTCAAAAATCACGAAAAAAGTCATAGTATAGAATGTTGTCAAAAATCACGAAAAAAAGTCATAGTATGGCATGTCGTCAAAAATCACGAAAAAAAAAGTCATAGTATAGCATGTCGTCAAAAATCACGGGAAAAAAAAGTCATGGTATAGCATGTCGTCAAAAATCACAAAAAAAAGTCATGGTATAGTATAGTATGTTGTCAAAAATCACGAAAAAAGTCATGGTATAGCATGTTGTCAAAAATCACAAAAAAAAGTCATAGTATAGTATGTCGTCAAAAATCACGAAAAAAAGTCATAGAATAGCATGTCATCAAAAATCACTGAAAAAAGTCATAGTATAGTATGTTGTCAAAAATCACGAAAAAAAAGTCATACTATAGCATGTCGTGAAATCACGAAAAAAGTCATAGTATAGCATGTCGTGAAAAATCACGAAAAAGTCATAGTATAGTATGTCGTCAAAAATCACG